TTATTTTTGTTATTGTAAGGAGAAGGTTCTTATGATAGAAAAAAAAATCAGAAAATCTTATGGGAACGGGACAAAACGGGATTGCGCATACGAAGTCGCGGGCAGAAGCTAGTTTTATATGTATATTAAAACGATGAAAATTGTAGCAGTTAATATCAATATTAAACTACATAAACATTAGTAGATAACCACTTGACAGATAACATCAAGAGTCTAATAATTACCAATAATAAATCAAATACAACCTATTTAGGCCATTCCCGTTCTACTTTCTCTCCTACTAACGTAATTATGAGCAAGAGACAAACTGAAACTACACGGAACCAATTATTTTAATCCATCATCTTGTTAAGCAGAAATCACTCAATTATTATTATTTTTTTTTTTTTTTAAATAAAATTTTTATTCATAATAACACTGGTCAACATAGGTACAAAAATATCTTAATTAAGCGACAAGATCTTAAAAATAATATGCCTATACTAGGAATATTCCTGTGTCACAGGCGACAGGAGCTCTAGAAATATGTTACTGATAAGACAACTTATTTATAGTATATGTAAAATATTTAACACAATTTTCAGAAGTAAGGTAGGATTGTTTAATACATTACATACATACATACATACATATAATAACATCACGCTTTTTATTCCCTGAAGGAGAATAAAAAGTTGAACTTACATAATACATTAATATAAAATTAAATAAAATATCGTATAAGCTATATTCATATATAAACTAGATAATATTACATGTTACAAGGCTATCAATTATTTTAGATCGTCTGCAGAAACACAAAAAACTAGGTCAGAGTCCATACGGTCACTCACTTGTTACAGTTAGATCAAATGTGCTTGGACAGCAATAAATTGCTGAGTAAGCCAACCTGTTAATGTGCAATTGTTATACAAGTGACCAAACTAAACGAAATGAATAATCGAATTGGAATTCCGACTTCGAGCATTTTTCTTTATGCGCCTTCATAATCGATGGAATTTATTATCTGTGTTCGGCTATCTTCCTGGCTGGGCACTCTGCGTCTCCTGTCTTGTGACTGTTGGGCTTGTTAAAGCGAGAGCATGTGGTACATTTTGGGAAGTCGATTGTCTTCGTGCACATGGATGTCATGTGTCCTGTTTCTCCACAATGGCCACACATGAGTGGAGCTCCCGGCATGTCTTTGCCGCGTGGCCATACTGCTGACATTTATAGCAACGCGTTACTAACGTGAAGTCTCTGACAGGGCAAGACGTCCAGTTTATATAGAGTCTCTCTTGCGATATAAGCGCTTTACGGATGTTGGCTGGAACTTCAATGATGTAATTACAAGTCGGCGCGTCTTTTCTGCCAGATTTGTGACTTAACTTCACACTTGTTAGGAAAGACTCTATAGTCAACTCTTGGAACTTACCAGCTATGTTTTGTTCAAATATGCACCTGAGGACATCAGCATCGGATAAAACAGACGGCACTCCTAGAACTGTGATTCTTGGTTTTCGTTTTTTTGCTTCATCGGCAATAAGTCCAGACGATGATAGGGCTAGTGCGTCTTTAACTTTCTTAGCATCTTCTTTAGACTCAGTGCTGATTATAACGCCTCCGTTATGGATTTTACGCACACCACGCACATGTAGCTGCAATTGGTCAGGGCGTATGATTTTTTGCACAAGAGATTTTGTTTCATCGCTAGATTTTGACTTATTTGCTGGGTAAATTGCAATAGAAGTCAGATTTGTAGGTCGCACGAAGTCAGTTCCCTTCTTTACCATGTCAGCAAATGAAACATTTCCCGTTGATGCTGAATCCTTGATAGTCTGCTTGATGTCCGAAATTTGTTCCACAAGGTCCTGCTTTTCTCTCATCTCATCTATAATGTTGACGGCTATGCGGGCTTGCTGCTTAAGAGCTTGGTATAAGACAGCCATTTGCGAGACATCAGCACCAATTTTTCGGCTCAGGTTGGATATTTTAAGTTTTTGGTCCGAGTTAAGTTTGCCCTCTGTGGAAATAGTGCAAACTTCATGTAACAGGTCTTCAATGTTTGACATCCAATTTTGAATATCGGGCGTCGACACAGCTTGTATCGAGAAGTCAGAAGTACGGCTGCTCTTTAATGGTGAAGTACAGGAAGCCAGCTTGCTCGGGTTTAAATCCATCTTCGAAACAACTAAGTTTGTATTTCCATTATTTATAACTAAGTATCACAATAAGCAGAATAATAATGTAGGTCACTATTATTGCTTTGATTCAATCTTTCTAGTATGCACGTCTGTTCACATCGAACGTCAAGAATCGAATCAATAATTAAATAATCTATTCATTAAGTAGTACCTAATTATTAATTCTTCCTGTATTAATTAATTTACCTTTCAAAAGAACTAATTAACTCGCATTTGAGATTTAATTGACACTACGGCCTCCGCTATCAGTTTGACATGACAACAAAGGAAATTGGTACCTCTCGCTGTTTCGATAAAATGTCAGATTTTTCGATCGTCTGTTTATTCAGGTCTATAGGTATCTTATATACTTTCACAAGCTTTTATGATGCAACTTACATCTTTAAAGATGTCTGCTTCAAAATAAGTTGCATTTGATTAGTTAACTAATCAAACTCAAACTCAAAAGCATTCATTTCAATTAAACCATAATTTGGTACTTTTGAAACGTCAACAAATATAAAATAAATAATAGTCTGTCAGTCTGTCTGTCAGTGAAGCTAGGTGCTCGTTCCAAAATGTCGATTCGAGTGGAGAAGAACGACCAAGAAATTCCATTCGTTAATCTTTTAAAAAAAAGTCTGTTTTACATTGCTCTGATACATATTCCAATATTATACACACATGTGAGAATAATGTAAAGACATACCTGACAAATAACAGAACGTACTAAAATAAAAAACAAAACCAAGAGAAAACAAATATCTTAAGTCTGACATGGTCCTCACATATGTATACTGACAATCCATACAAAATAGTGCTTCTATACAAGAAAAAAAAAAAAAAAATGGAGTTGTTATACACGCCTAGCTTGCATTCACATGAATGCTAAGCTGTTTGTTTAAAAAATGACTGACACCGGCTGTTCTATAAGATGTCAGTACGAACTTTTCTGTCGAGATTATGATGAATGACATGGCGGATCGCGATCGAGTTCACTTCAGTCTTTCGAATTGAAAGTTACAGAATAGCATGGCGGATTGTAAATAGAAAGATAAAATACTTTCAGTCTATGGGTAAAAGAAGGATTATGGACACTCAAATACCAGAGGCGTTACAAGTGCGTTATAACCAGCTTTTGGAGGTTAGGAATTTGAGAATTGTTGGGGTTTCGGGGATCGGGGAGGGGGATAATTGGGCCTCCGATAACCTCACTTACAAGATGAAACACAACATTAGCGTTGTTTCACGTCGGTTTTCTGTGAGGCCGTGGTATCACTCCGTTCAAACAGGACCATTCGTGTCGAATAATGGCTCTGCCCACTCTCCCACACTGTTGCCATAACTGATGACATGAGTATCTTACAAATCTCTAAAACGGTTCGTCATAGTAATATTTCGTTCTACATTTTAAAACTTTGTATAACATTTTTTCCACAAAGGATTTAATTACAAGGTTTCGCATAGCGAATTTATTTTTACACTGTCTATGCCTTACAACCTTACCCACCATTAAGAAACCTGATAGTCATCAAACATTTTAAGGCTTTTTTGTTAAATAAACAGCGCATTGTTTACCTCTTTTGTGGTTTTACTAAATGAATTATGAAAAAAGCATGTCTGCCATGATATGATAATGGCAGCGTCACCTAAACAATTCTGGTGTATAATTATATACTTAATGACTAAATTATAATTTTATAAACTACGTTTAAAAAACCGACTTCAAATTGACCGACACTGTTATTAGATTTAAGTGTGGGAGAGCCATGCTTCGGCACGAATGGGCCGGCTCGACCGAAGTGATACCACGGCCGAGCAGAAAACCGACGAGAAGAAACGCTTGCGTTGTGTTTCGTCGTGTGAGTGAGGTAACCGAAGGCCCAATTACCCTCCCCTTCCCCAAACTCCCAAATTTCTGAATCCCCAACGATCCTTAAACTCCTATTCCCCAAAAGGCCGATAACGCACTTGTAACGCTTCTGGTGTTCCAGGTGTCAATGGGCGACGCCGATTGCTTACCATCAGGTGATCCGTCTGATCGTTAACCGGCTTATGCTATAAAAAAGATATAATATTTTAAGTAGAAAGAAATCACCGGACTTTACCATTACGGTCCTTCCATTACGGACCATTACGGTCTTTAAAATAGAAGACAGGTGGTAGCTGGTCAGTTACTCCACCATTGCTTACCAGGATATAAAGACCTTCCAGAAATGAAAGATATGATGAAATTTTAGAACTGAAAGGAACGACGAAGAAATAATCTAATAGAGATATTTTTATCATAGATACATATTGGTTTATGTTTTAAATTATATTAGATACTTTGACATTTAAAACTGACTGAAATAGTAGATTTTTGGAACCCTTGATTTATTGTATTTACGATTCGACATTGTAGAAAATTGTTTTTCCGATACAATAGCTTTACAATTTGTTTATATCACAATGTCAACGAATTCAATGTACAAAGTACACAGCGTAAGTTGAATAATTAAATCCATGCTTCGTAGTTTTTACTATTGACTGTTGGAAAAAGTTAAACTGCTTATTTTGGGAGTGCACTTTTTATAATAATAATAAATTCCGATTTCTTACGTTATGAGTTCCAAATATAAAATTAAAAGGCAGCATAGCCTATTAGCATAGACCGGTCTCTATGAATCTGGTAATACAAAATTATTTCAAACTCCATGCTATACATGATACATTGTTTAGATTGCCCAGTCGCGCACAAAATTATACACACGGCCTAATAGGTACTTATGATTGCGATTAATCAACAAACACAACAGTTTCTCAAATAAAATGTTTAATCAAGTAATTTTTTGTTGCAGTGTGACGAATATATTTCTGGTGAACCTGTCGGCTGCAGACCTGCTGGTGACGGGGATCTGCATGCCCATCCAGCTCAGCAAAGCCATCACCCTCGTCTGGTTCTACGGGGAGACAGTCTGCAAGATTGTTAATTATATTCAAGGTAAATTTCAAATACGGCCATAAATATGTATAGGTGGTTTCAACTGCTTCGAGATTAGAGGCTTCATTCAATATTTTATCTCATGAACACGTAAGTAGGTCATAAATTAAACAGCATTTAAGTGAAAAATTCTCAATAGACAACTGGAACACAAGAGGCGTTACAAGTGCGTTACCGGCCTTTTGGGGATTAGGAGTTTGAGGATCGTTGGAGATTCAGGGATTGAGGAGATTGGGGAAGGGGAGAGTAATTGGGCCTCCGGTAACCTCATTCACACGACGAAACACAACGCAATCGTTGCTTCACGTCGGTTTTCTGTGAGGTCGTAGTATCACTCCGGTCGAGCCGGCCTATTCGTGCCGAAGCATGGCTCTCCCACACTTTTACTTTTAATAAATTGAGTTTAGGTACGTATTCTCTCGGTTTGCTAGCATTCAAAGTAATGCCATTCGACTCATAGTACAGATGCATAAATCAGATAGAGGCAATAATCGTTGGAATAAGCCAGCAAACTAGTAGACAGATCACTTATTGGTAAACAATCGGAGACAGAGGACATACAAGTGCGTTGTCAGCTATGTAGTGGGGGTTAGGGGTTTAAGTATACGGGATATAGGGATTGGAAAGATTGGGGTGGAGGATAATTAGGCCTCCAGAGACCTCATTCACACAACGAAACACAGACCAAGCTTCTGCATCACGAAACACAAAATTCCTAATTGGTGCTTTGTAATTTCTATCTATCTCCACATGAGACTAAAGCTTATTTTTATTTATTTATTTATTTATTTATTAAGAGTTACCAACATTTGATTACACAACTACAGTAAGCATTAAGCAAGCAAGCAAAGAGGAATGAGCCTATGTGTAACAAACAATTACAGGTAACCACAACATTTACTGGTACAAATATGTGTATATAAAAAAAAAGTTCTTAATTACTATCCTTAAGCTTAGGTTTATGTCTGTATAATGTAGGTATTAATTAAAGGTCCGTTGGTTTAGCCTGAAGCTCTAGTCTCAAGTGATAGGTTCAGGTCGTAATTAGCTAATACTTCTAGGTAGGTATTGTTGGTATGTATTATATGATGCTATGAAAATGTTATGGTATAGTAATTCTTTCTTTTTTGACAATTTATTGCAAGATGGCATCCTTTTAATTTTTTCTACCAGGGAAATAAAAATTATTTCAATACAATCATTTCATAACATCATCATAACATCACGCCTTTTATCCCCGAAGAGGTAGGCAGAGGTGCACATTATACCACTGTACAATGTAACACCCACGTTTCACAATTTATGTTATGAGTCCCATGTAATAGGGGGTGAGCCTATTGCCATATACCGAGCACAATTCTAGACTCCGTCGACTCCGTCCGACTGAGATTTTTTTTAAAAAAACCCAGTAGTACTTTGTCCGACCCGGGAATCGAACCCGAGACCCCCTGCCCGGCAGTCGCAATTGCGACCACTCGGCCAGCGAGGCAGTACAATCATTTCTCATCATCAATCATGTTTAAAATATGTGATTTGAAGTCTTTGAGGATGAAATTATAATTAAAAATAGTCAGATCATTACATAAAATACCAGCCGTGAGATAGTACGCGATTAATGGTCGACATTTTCCCCTGAGCACAGTTAAACGTCTCTTTGTTATTTCACCAGAGATTTTGGATAGACCAACAATAATGATTATCTAGTACAAAAAGCAGGCCGAAATATATTTTTTGCTCTTTGTAATAAAGTTTAGAATTGCAGATATCAGGTTTCTAAAGAAACAGCTGTTTTGTTTTTTAATAAAACATGGCTGTCGGTGTCGGTTGACGTAGTTCTTTGTGAATAGATTTGAAAAAAGAACTGCTAGGTAGGTACCTAGGTAGGTTTTCATTTGCAACCAATGTAGGTACATTGGTTGCAAATGAAAATGTTTGGCCTGTGTTTTGGACATATTAATATTATTAAATTAAAAACAACTATTAATTGTCATTAAAGTGTGAATTTGATGTAAATCTTGTAATCGATTCTCAAAAGGGACAAAGACTTAATTACGAAAAATCACAAAATGGTAAAAATATGAAACTATACAATTCATTAACATTTGTGCGATCAGCCATCAAATAAATAATCTATCAGTGAATAAAAGGCCCCATGCTACGTAATGGATTATTTTTCCAAATACCTATGTAGGTATGTCTTTTACGGTTCCACATCAGATGACGTCACCCATCTACGACTCCCACCAGGAAACATATGTCAGTCGTTCATTTTACGACCAGCAATAAGGAATGAGCTAATAGCTTCTGCTTTAACTACGCCAATCAAAGATCACTTGTTGCTATGCACAGACAAACTTCCCAAAAAAAAAAAAAAAACAAAATTCTTTAACAAATTTTCGATTTTCGTATTTGGGGATTTATCCCCAACAACTCCGAACTTTAGTTCGGAGTTGTTAGACTGACCATGTGATGACGTGTGATACGTAATCAAATCAATTGATCCAGTTTTAGGATGAAGAGATTCAACGACTCATGTGGTACTTATTTAAAATAAAACTAATCACTTTTTGCACCAATACCATTAATTTTTATTAATCTAAAAGTTTAGTCTTGAAACCTGGGTATGTTGGTTTGAGTCTAAAATCGCCTGAAAGAAATTTAATGCCAATTATCACTCCATTTGAAAACAGGTTATTACCTAGCTTAGATACAAATTCAGACTACGTTACTTAGATAGTATTTGTATGTGTAAGTGTAGGAGAGGCATGCTTCGGCACGAGTGGGCCGGCTTGACCGGAGCGATACCACGGCTTCATTGAAAACCCACGTGAGACAACGCTTGCGTTGTATTTCGTCGTGTGAGTGAGGTTACCGGAGGCCTAATTACACCCCCCTCTTAAATCTCTCCAACCCCAGAATCCTCAACAATCCTCAAATTCCTAATCACTAAAAGGCTGGTCCACTTGTAACGCCTCTGATGTTCAAGGTGTCTATGGCCGACGCCGATTGCTTACCATCCAGCGGTAATCCAGCTTAACATATAAAAAAACAATATCGATTCAAGGAAATATTACACTCACTGATTCTGTTCATATTTTCCCTTTCTATTCGGGTAGATTTGTTTATGTACCTAATTATGTATGTGTGTACATACGTATAGGGAAGATATTTACGGTGTATCTCAAGGTTCCTCGAGGTAATTAAAGTCACTTGTTGCCGTAATGCTTCGTTTAAGGGCCTCTTGACGTCAGTTGCGTTTTATGGTGATATCAACGATTTTACTACGATGATAGTGAGAGCTGAATGATCTTGACATACTTCCCTGTTTATGAATATTATATTTAGGTTATGTATAATTAATCAAACTCCCTCGACTGCCTCGTTGGCCGAGTGGTCGCAAGTGCGACTGCCGGGCAAGGGGTCTCGGGTTCGATTCCCGGGTTGGGCAAACTATTACTGGGTTTTAAAAAAAATATCAGTAGTAGCACGGACTCTAGAATTGGGCCCGGTATATGGCAATAGGCTCACCCCCTATTACCTACATGGGACTCATAACATAAATAGTGAAAAGTGGGTGTTACTTTGTACGGTGACATAATGTGCACCTCTGCCTACTCCATCTGATAAAAGGCGTGATGTTATGTTATGTTATAATTAATCAAACTGTGATATTGTAGTTTGAGGTCTATGGCTGAGTTAATAGAACTGAATTCGCAACTGTTTTCATTTGAACCTTTGAATAATAAGATTTCAAATACCTACGTTTTAAAAACAAGACTGGCTTAGATTTGGTTTGAAAACGATTAAAGTAAAACATGATAAAATCTCTTTATATAAAATCTTTTACAATTTAGTAAGAAATACGTAGTTGCCTGAGTCCTACTTAAAAATCACTTTTAAATAATAAGGCTTATTAGTAGATAGTTCTAAATTTTTTGTCTAATCTCATAGATAACTAGCGACACCATAATATATGCACTTTACGTAATCTATTTTACTTTTGTTCCAGGAGTGGCAGTAGCAGCCAGTGTGTTCACGATAACAGCTATGTCAGTGGACCGATGGCTCTCAATCTCCCCTGAACCACGACTCCGACCTCCTGGTAGAAAGCAGGCACTACTTCTGCTGTTCCTCCTCTGGTGTGCTGCTTTACTAATATTCATACCACTGCTGATGGTAGCCACTGTGAGAAGGGAACCAGTTCCTATCATATCGAAGGCGCTGAAAAATATATCGGTAAGTATTGTGTAATATCACAATGTGATAATACTCTCTTATGTCATAATATCAATATTCATAAGATCAGCACGGAGTCTGAATTTGTGCCCGATATATGGCAATGAAAAGTGGGTGTCACATTGTAGAGGTACAGTGGCATTTAATGCCATAATGTGCACCTCTGCCTACCCCTTCGGGAATAAATGGCTTGATGTTATGTTATAGTAATAAGTACTAGCCGTACGCGGGATTTCGTTCGCGTGGAAAAAGTAGTTAAATTGTTATATCAAATAGCTGCGAATAAAAGTCCCGCCAAAACCGGTCCAGCCATTTCAGAGATTAGCCAGAACAAACAGATATATAGACAAATAATATAGATAGTGTTCATTCGGTATTATGTATGTTCATATGCATGTAGTAAAAATTTATTACATTGTTATTTCAATATTGCAAATCTCTACACTCGACACTCTAATATTATTTATACATTATGCACAAGATGTAGAACTCGTTTTTTAAGATTTATGTATAAAAAAGAGTATTTATACTCTGTTTATCGAAGAAAAGAAAAATAATTTATCATTGTTACTTAAGCAAATTAAGGGATGAATAAAATTAAGGAAAGCCCTATCACCATTGCGTAAACCGCTTAAACACATTGATTGAGTACATTTATTTGTAAAAACATGGTTAAGATACTTGGAACAAAAGGTTGTTATGTTATTGGTACACTTTGTAATTTTAATGTATATGTAAATACAATTACTCTACAGAATACAACTTAAACAGACTGGGCCTCAAGATATAGGGAATCCTAGCGTGGGGTCCGGGGCTATTGAAAAATGTAATGTAGGTCAATAATGCTTTTTGTCAATAAACATAATTTTTTTTAACAGATATTCTAAAATTTTGTTAAAAATGTGATCTCTGGAATCAATTTAATATAATAAACTTAAATAACTTAAGTATGAATAATATACAAATTAAAATACAAATAACTAAAAACTAAAATATTTACACCTAACCCTTACCACGGGGTGTCGCAACGTGGATCTACGAGGGACGCAATGTATTTTTTTATTGTGTGAGGGGGTGTGTGTGTGTGTGTGTGTCAACTCAAGAGGTTTATCAAACTATTAACATAGATTATGACAGTGAGTGTGCAATCGAACATACTCCTGCCTACCCTTTCAGGGAAATAAAAGAAAGACCTTATAACGTCTAGAAAAAAGGCGCAACGGTCTCTCATTCCAGAAGCCTGCCACGTTTATTATTTTTCTAGGAAATCGCTCTTGCCTTGTGATAGTCCTGCAAATAATAATGAGGAAAAAATTAAAGCCGAAGAGAGTTAAATAACATGAAGTCTGTTATTGTACTCTTTTCTCTGATATTGTTTTTCTTTTCTGTATTTTACATTTTGTTTAAAATATTAGTTTTCAGTCCAAAAATACATTAGCTCACCAAGTGAAATAAACATTCGGTTTTATGAAGTGGTGTTAAAGTTTCTCTTTTAATTTATTCAATGTCTTGGTTAGTCTCGTCCACCACCTATCCTCATCCTTACTATTATAAATGGGAAAGTGAGTTTGTTTGTTTGTTCCGCGTTCACGCCGTAACTACTAAACCGATTGATTTGAATTTTTGCAGACGTGAAGTTAGAAGTCCGGGTTAAATAATAGGGTACTTTGTATCCCGGAAAATGTTGATGTTCCCGAGGGAAAACAAAAGAATTGGTATATAGATAGCGCTGTGTTTATTGGTATATATGTCACATAGGCTACTTTTATCCTTTTGTGACGCGAGCGAAGCCGCGGGTAAAAGCTAGTTGTAAATAAGTGAAGCATCTTCCCCGTAAGTGATTAACAAATACTATTAGTCAATGAGAGAATCATGATGACAATATAGCTATTGTCTGATTTGATAACTTCATTAATTAATAATAGGTTAAAGTAATAAACAATCCACAACAACGTATGTTGACACATCTCTATTACTTCAAACACAGAAAGACATAATTACACAACTAAAACTTTTGATTCCAAACCTTATTACGCCCTCGTTATGGTAACAACTTGTATGAAACGCTAACAACATTTACAACTTTGAGGGATAATTGCATAGACAGACATTAATTTGATAACTTGTGAAACGTAGTAATTTGTTTTTAATTAATTTCTATTATAAATCGAGTGTCGGCAAAGTTCAGTGCTCAGAATAAACATATTTTGCTTTACGTATTATACTTAATGAAAGTTTTGGTGAAGATAAACAAAGAATTTTCAACTGTCTAGCTTAAACGTAGAGTTTAATTTGATTCACTGACAAATTGGTGCTTCGTTAGCGAAGTCCTAATGTTAAGTGTCAATTTTGGCATTTACAACAGTCATAGAATTAAGAGCACATGTTCACACTCCCATTGGCCATCACGATCACCCTCAGTGCTTAAACTTTAACTGTGACGTAGAACCAAACTTCGCATAGTCACTTGTCTTATCTCAATTGTAGATAAACGATTTGACAAACGTTAAATTTCAAAGGTAAAGCCCACTGTTGTAAACTATTGCGAGTGTGAGCATGTGCGGTGGCGGTTCCCTCAGCAATTATGTTCATTTTCAACCGACTTAAAAAAAAGGAGGAGGTTCTCATTTCGACTGTATGTTTTTTTATGTTTGATACTCGATTACTCGAAGACGCCTGGACCGATTTCAAAATATTTTTTTCTTGTAGAGGTATATATAATGAAGTTGACTGAATATAAGTCTTCTCTAATGTGCTTATGTCTCAAGACAGCAACTAGCTAGTAACAGGCTGGTGTTATGTCATAATAATTGATATTTTACCTCCTCTATATAAGATATATGAACCGTTTTCCTTCCATAAAAAACGAATCTCGAATTATGATAGGTTAACAACATTATTGTTTTCACTAAAATTTAAACTTTAGGTTAGGTTAGGTGCTCCTTAACGCTAACTAAAGTAACTCTTAGTTAAGTGACAGTTTAGGGTTGATTACTATTAACCGCTATAAGTCACCGATATATTTGAGAATGATGTATGATCACGGACTTAGGACTAGGGTATTATAATATAATGTATAATGTATTGTAACTACAAACGACTAAATCGTACTATTCATTCTAGATAGAAACGAGAGACGTGCACTTCTGTACCGAAGAGTGGCCTGGAATGGACAGAAAAAAACAGTTCGGCATGCTGAGCTTCACACTCGTGTACGCCATACCAGGTATGTTAACAACTACAGTAAAAGGTGACATATGTGGAAATGGCACGAATAGACTGGCTCAATCGGAGTGATACCACGGCCTCACAGAAAACCGATGTGAACAATACTTGCTTTGTATTGCGTCGTGTGAATTAGGTTACTGGAGACCCATTTGCCTCTCTCCCCGATCTCTCCAATTCCAAATCAAGAACTCTTAACCCATAAGATCGGCAACTCACGTGTAACGCCTCTCGTGTTTAGGATGTACATGGGTGCCACCAATTGCTTTCCATCAGGTAATCCGTAGGGTTGTTTACCGGCCTATTCCATAAAAAAAAGGAAATTAACCTAACCACGTAAGTCTTTAAATGTCTTTAGGTGTTATAGGTATGTGTTTAGGGCAGACGATAAATGAAAGCATTTGTACTATTAAACTCACGTAGTGTATTCACCATAAAGATCGAGCAACGAGTGTCACACGTCCCGCTACTGCGCATACATAAATATAGGCTTGCAGGTTACACTTGTTACGTATCGTATACACCGTGATCACTGCCATGTCACCAGGCCCTGATCTGCTGAATCAGGACATTACACCTACTTTGATGCAACGAAGGTTCTACGGAGTATTGCAACATTCGAACTGCTGAGTCGTCTCCTCTTGTCGTCGCCTTGTGCCCAGCTACGAATCGCTATATCATCGTTCACCCCACTAGATTTAACCTCAATAAAACCGTCATACTAATTTTATAATACAGAATTTTACCATAAGAAAGCAGTGTTGTTCTAACATCGAACGCATTCGCTCTTAGGTTAGTTACATTTTAGGAGTTGCCATGTAATTTTAATTATAATAAACCTAGTTTAATGATTATAGTTTTCATTTGCACCATCCGTCAGTGGCAGAAACATAACTCACTTACTACTAGCGTTTATATTTGTGTTTGTGTGGTTATAACACTATAACTCCCTACATGTCTATTAAGAATTAGCTGTGCCCGCAGCTTCGTCCGCGTTGAATAGTGATTCACAGCTCCTCTCCCTTAGGTGATAGCGTGATAATATGTAGGCTATATATTGTATGTAGCCTATATATTGACCCGATCTGTTAATAACTTACCTTTTGAGTTTATCCCGGACATACATAACAAATAGACAAAAATTCTAAATACGATATTTTTGGCTTCGGTATCGATTGTATACCAAGCATTCTTTAAAAAAATATTCAATGTACAGTTTTCACTCCCCTATAATTTTATTATATGTATAGATTGAGTACTGAATATCCTTTTCCTTTATATTACGTTCTGAACAAACAGACGCGGGATAATAATGAGCCATTCAAACAATAGATTTCGATTTTATGACATATTTTTTTTTGTTAAAGTTTGAATGAATGAATGAATGCCATTTATTTCTCAGTACATGGTGCACTCAGATCTTAAAATTAACAAAGTTCCACACATACTACCGTTAACGGTGTAGAAATATAAAATTGTATTAACAGAGAGACAAAGAGTAAAGCCATGCGTGTAATGCAAAAGTTTAGAATGAAAGTAAGATTTAGCTAAGTTAAGGTCTGTAAATGAGAACAGACAAGAAGAGTCACGCCATTTATGTTAAGTTCTCGTAGTTAAGTCAGAAACCATCGTAGTATAATACATAATTACTCTATCCATAATACAACAATCTAGTTAAACACAGACAAAACCTTTTAAAAAAAATCTCCCGATAAAAACCATCCCTGAACTCTAACGAACATTTTAAAAAAATGGCAGAATTGGTTGCGATTCATTTTATATTATAACTAGCTTCTGCCCGCCACTTCGTACGCGCAATCCCGTTCTTTCCCGTTCCCGTTCGTGATTTTCGGTAAAAAGTAAAAAAAAAAATCGATAAAAAAAGTACCCTATGTCAGTCTCCTGGTTCTAATCTACCTCTCCACCAATTGTCATCCAAATCGATGTAGCCGTTCTTGAGTTATAAGTAGTGTAACTAACACAACTTTCTTTTATATATATAGATGATGGTCGGTTACTTCATCCACCTCTAGGTCGTATATTCTAATGTACGTTCTTGTATATAAAGAGCTAAAAATAACATGAAAACAGTGAAAAGAGAGAGGTTTTATTATTCTTATATCATTTTCCTGAACATTTTCTTTTATCCTGATACGGTTCTTGGTTCATTAAACGAATATTTATATATTTAACGCTCTCAACAGGTATTTTGTTTTTGCTCTTTACCTGTTTTTTAAAAGTCCATCAACGTAAAGTGTGGTCTACATTATCTATGTTGGGCATTCTTCGTTACTATTTTTTTACTATTTTTCGTGACAATGGAATTTTATTTTGAAAAAGAAGAGATATAACGTATCTTATGAACTTTCATTTAGATTTTTCATTACGTAATCTCACAGCATTTTTATTAACCAACTTGAGTTAAAGTGGCTGGGTACTTGAATTATTTTTAGAACGCAAATATATTATACAGATGTATACATGTATTAAGATATAAAAGAAGTCACGTTTAATAATTCACTTATATGTCAATATTGGAAATATATATAGACATCATATTCGATGTTCATGCTTGCGTAAAATACTTCAAAATTACATAGGCTTGGCCGACCAAAAGGTCTTTGTTATTACGTTTGAATAACTTACTTTAAGTTTTCTACAACAACTAGCAAAAGGTGACTTGACATTTACTACCAATTCACATTTTTTATCTACAAAAATCTGTTACGTAATAATTAATTACAAACTCAATCCGAACTCCAATATAAGGCAATTTACGAAAAAAATTCATCCGAAAATAATAATGTCGAAAACCAATTAACTTTAAGTCGACAGATCAAAATGGCTTCCAATCACAATGGCAAATATTAAACTTGACTTTGTATTGTTATAATTTCACGACTTTTGATACTAAAACAGGAATTACAAAGTGATAGCGCTAACAAGGTCAAAATAAGGTTTATAGAGTGCCGTTCTACTAATAATAGATAACAAAATCTATTGAGGACTTAAAATAAAACAATTGTTAAAAACGATATTTTCCATCGTTCTTTGTAAAATACAGTAAATCGAATAACGGTGGCAATATTTATGTCTAAATATACAAATATTGTTTACTTCTTTTTCAGAATTCCAAGGTTCCTATAGTAATAATAGTTCATTATCATAGGTCATCAATAAATAGAAATAGGCTTGTTCTCAATAAGTCTTAAATAAGACTCGTAACCCATTCATTTTTTTGTGAGGGGAGAGAATCAGGCAATGACTTCTCCCAACTTGGATGAGAGGGAGGGTCAGACTTTTATTGACTTATAACCTCCCGTCCCTACCTCAGCTTTGAGCCGGAGCCTTGGTAAATCGTTAAGTCTTCCGCGGCTTCAACTGAATTATTGTCGTTTAACAGCGGTAAACACAACAGTTGAAAAACCAAATTCACTTAGATTAATAATAATATGTGCTCAATCCTTTTGAACAATATAAAGGCATAATAGGTAGGTATAAGCAATGGGTTTTCTCATTTACCCTAGAGAACATGAAGAACATCCTACGTGTTTAGAGTTGGTTAAACAAGATTCATTCATTACATAGAGAGGAGTGGAAGGAGGGTAGGCAGGCCTTGCACTGCAGTGGGATGATTATGGCTGAAAAAAAATCAAGATTCACAGGTATCGATTTTCTATCAAAGGCTTAAGGAATGCAATCGTAAACTGTCTTCTAAGCCTTAAACAAACCATACAATAAACTCCGAAAACAAATACTCCGTGACCGAGTCACGCAAAATGACGACGTTTTCGATATCTCATGGAACTTTTTCAACGATTACTTTCCTTATTGTTCTTCCTTTGTTTACTTACATGGTCCCCATAACATTTGAATCGTAATGGTGTTTGTTTTATACTATCTGGGACGTTCCTGCTCATGACAGTGCCCATTTTATCCGTGTTTATTGGGTTTGAAATAGGTATCTATTTACTAAAATTACCTATATTACTTTGCTGTATCTTCGGAATGTTTTTGAATTATACAATCTATAAATTGATACTGAAATTATATATAATCTTATGACTCTCAAGCAAAATCAAGATATGACATATAATTACATAGTATTTTTTTTAAACTAAATTAAATTATTACTATAACATTTCAGTTAAAAACTGAACTGACACCTCATTGGCCGAGTGGTCGTAATTGCGACTGCCGGGCAAGGGGTCTCGGGTTCGATTCCCGGGTCGGGCAAAGTATTACTGGGTTTTTATAAAAAAAAATCTCAGTAGTAGCACGGAGTCTGGAATTGTGCCCGGTATATAGCAAAAGGCTCACCCCCTATTACATGGGACTCATAACTTAAATAGTGAAAAGTGAGTGTTACATTGTACATCGGCATAATGTGCACCTCTGCCTACCCCTTCGAGGATAAAAAGCGTGATGTTATGCTATGTATTCATTTAAAATCTCGTTAAAGACACATAGGTACACCAGATTGTACCTTTTGTAACATTTTAAATATAAAACCATTGTTTTTCTTTTGTATGAACCTTTCTGAATGTACCGGTATTGGACGTGGACATTAATTAATCAACGGCCATCCGGTTCGAAATGTGATGAAATAATTAAAAATAGCTTTGAAGAAAATCTATGTAAGTATTTCGATTAAATTTTGTTCAATTTAAATACTGAACTGATTATAAGTTACCTACGTCTCGTATAAAAGAGTGTCAGTAAATAAATATAATTGAATCGAATCAATCAAATACGTAATAGGTTTTCATTCAGGCCGTAAATCTCTTCTACGTAGAATAAAATTGTATATTAAATTTGTTCATTAAAATTGCCGATTGATGAAAAACTAAAAAATAGTGGTCTCTATTGTAGAAGGTTATTTTTATTCTAAAAGGGAAGTATTTAGATTTTTGTTTACATACCACTTTTATAAAAACTACTAGCCTGCCTCATTGACCAGTGATCGAAAGTGTGACTGCCGGGCAAGGGGTTTCGAAGTCGATTCCCGGGTCAGGCAAAGTATTACTGGGTTTAAAAAAAAATCTTAGTAGTACCACGGAGTCCAGAAACATGCCCGGTATATGGCAATAGGCTCACCCCCTATGAAATGGGACTCATAACATCAATAGTGGAAAGTTGGTATTACATTATAGAGTGGCATTAAGTGGTGTAATGTGCACCTCTGCCTACCCCTTTCGGGTATAAATATACTTAAATATTTTACCGATGTCCTAAAATCTTAACCATTCTAAGATCCTATTTTTGTTTTGCCAAAAAATACTTAAGGACTAATGAATGTTCTAAATGTATATAGTGACAGGCAATATCTATAGTTCCATAGTAAAATAATATTACAATCTTCATTTGCCACTAACCAGTATCAATAAACAATGATAGATTGTTCTCGAACGTCTATTATTTGTTCATCATAATCCACAATTCCACATATCACGATGCAAATAGGTCTATTTATAGCCTTTTGTGTCGTGAAGTGAAATTCTCCAATAGCCCGTGTGATATTCTATAATATAGCCTTTGCAATATTTTCAATAGTCTCAGCAATATTATCATTATTATTTGACTATTACAATTGGATTGGTAATATCAGTAACAGTATCTATTTACTTCAACCTTTTTAAGGATTTCGTCTTGATTGGTTTAAAGATACAAAGTGGGTTATGTCACTACATAGTATAAAACAAAGTCGCTAACCGCCGTCTGTCCGTCCCTATGTATGCTTAGATCTTTAAAACTACGCAACGGATTTTGATGCGGTTTCTTTTAATAGATAAGGAAGTTTTTTATGTATAGTACATGTATATTGCATCCGTGCGAAGCCGGGGCGGGTCGCTAGTGTCATATTTTTGGTGTCGTAATTTCGTGTAGAAAATATATAAAAATATATTTTAGTGACTGTATTTCTTTCTTTTTAGCCATTAAAGGTTCAATTTACTGATTCAGCTAGTACCCATTTTCCTTATAAGATAGTCTTTAGACATTTCAATCAATTTTATTATCATAACAATGCATAACTATGCTGGTGCCTAATTAATAATAAGTGCTTGCTATTTTCCTGGATATGTATTAAGTACAATCACATAGGGGAGATTTTGTCACAACATACAACAGATACTATGTCGAGAAATTATCATCATTATTATCGTATCAGCAACAAAACCAACACTGCTGAACATAGAGACGTATGTTACAGAGATGAGACCGCTTCTTGACATCTAGAGACCGCTAAAAGTGACTGTTAAAGAAAACAAAGCCTAAATAAAGTCATTTCCTATACGACGATAGGCGCCGCTGTATCGATGTAAGCGAATCGTAAACATATCGTTTCTATTATTGTGGTGCTAGACAACATATTTCCTTAACATGTATAGTATGATACCATTTTACTCTCATCCTAAGCTTGTATATTTGTGAAGGGCTTGTCTTCAAATTACGTACGTAAGTTTTATACAGTAGTTTCCTAAACATGATCAAGCAACAGACGGCAACTGTCAGAACAGTTTAACTTTCAATGTATGAAGATATAGTAGTTCGACAGTCTATTGCTCTTATTTGAGTAATATTCATATCCTCTTGTCGTGAGTTAGACGTCAATACGTCAGGAGCAAAACTTCGGTTATTACCGTCTAATACTAAGTTAGAATCTTGACACATAGATACAACGGTGACGTTAAGCTTGGTAACTCTTAAAGGGATGAATATACTTATTTTTATGTTATCTTTTAAAAAAACTCGATATTAATTCTTTTAAAAATGATACTAAACAAAAGTAACTTTATCAAACGCACTGCAATATCGATGTTCTAATTCTATACATTAATTAAGAAGCGCCACGGATTGGACGCGGTGACTGACACTCGATTACGCAGTGACTTCGCATGACTTCGCTAGTTTATACTAGCAGTTAGAAACTGAAAGCAGTTAGTGACTGGGAAATAGTTTGCGAGCGTTTTTGCTATTAGTTTGTTTTGTTGCATCAGTCGCATTGTAACTAATCTTTAAATCCAAACAGTAACATATTAATGTAGGTATCTCATTTATTGTTAGACTGGTAAATTATTGTTGAATAATGAGACATAATTATCATATACATACCTAGCCACATATACATACCTAATTCAAGACCTAGATAATGACATAGGAAACCCTTCATGGGAAATTCACGTAGATAAAACCGTAGCTGAAACGCAGTCAAACTATACACTTAGATTAAATTCGATGTACGTTTTTATTATTTTCAGTAAGTAATGAGTGAGTAAAGTCTATGTAGGTACATTGTACATATAAAATTGTATGTAATGGGTGAATTTATTCACGAATGCGTAACGTTTTTCTCTTCAACACATTGTCGGTATAAATTGGGTCATCTCCTTAATATTGACAAGGGTATCTCAGATCAATCGAGACGTATGTTGTTTTGTTTACAGAAAATACATTATTTGTTCTATCATTTGTTTTATTGCAGACAAATTGGTGATAGACTAATTTTTTTGAGTATAGCTATTTTACAAGAACTTTTGTTATACTTGGTTGATAAATTCTCTATTCGGCTGAAGGTGCTATGTGTTATGACCTATTTTAGATTCATGCCCTTATAACGTGTTTTTAAGCGCAGTTAAGAGAAAATCTAAGTCTTTACAATATAAGTAGTATACAATATATTTTTAAATACAACAATTTTCCTAAGAATCCCAATACAAAACCAATCCATACCAAAACTCATTTATTGCAAAGTAACCATAAGCAATAATATTCATTGAATTTACCCACATCATCAACTCTATCCACGTCGGGTCTGCATCGAACTATTGTAGCCGTGAAAGCATTGGGCTCGCCCATACAATATCAAATATTCCATAAAAGTAACATTATAAAAAGTGATCCATTACTAGACTAAAGTGGGGCTCGGCACTTTGTGAACTAAATAGATCAATATCAATTTACTAAAATGAGGAAAATTATTTATAAAAACGTTTTTGTACCTAGTACTTTTAGCTATGAACACATCGTCACTCCAACTTTAGTACTAAATTTTGTATACGTTATCATTTTTCACCCGCGGTTATACCTACAGAGAGTAGAAGACTATAGGTACATATACACCTAGTTCTTATTAACAAATTATTTTCTTTTTTGAAAACAAGTAACGTTACCCAATCTGGTATTTCACATGTGTCACCTTAAACCCTGGAACAACAATTCTTGGAACATATAAGGGGTTGTTCCGTCCTTTCGAACCTATAACATATTGAGTTGACCAGTTGTTCAACTACTGCTTCAAGTCTTCAACCGTGTTTTATAAAATTATGTTATGTTAGCCATTCAACATAAAAATAAAATGCCCTACTATCAATGATGTTTCATTTGACGAATGCATGTAACCTACAAACGACGATAGGCGGGTTGCAAATGACATATGCTTGCATCTTGCTAAAAAAAAAAATTAAAACTGTCCTGTCTGAAAGCGGCAGTAGTTTACCGCCTATCGTCATTTGTAGGTAACATGCATTCGTCAAATGACGTGTCGTGTACAGTAGGTCAAGTGACAATACTATGAGGTATTAAACAAATGACGTAAGAAAGGAAGACTCAATATTCGGGTTTCGTTCTAAATTATGAGGCTCTTTAATTCTTTTGTTAAACTCCCACCCAACGTTGGAAACTTTTTATGAACAATATTTTTATATTATTGAAGTTTTTTTATGTGTAGGTACGTTGTATTTGTTACTCAGTAATGGTGGGTATTACGTCTCACCTTATAACCTAACAATGTGTAAAATCATTTTTACCAATTTATTCTGTTAAGTTTCTAGTTTTAAAGTATGATAATATATTATTGGTAAACGTTTTAGTTTGGAGGTTTAAGAGTGCTCCTCATTCGTGAGAGTGCGGTATCGAAATTTACCTTTATACTTTCTAAGATTAAGATACCACTAATGATGAAGGAAAATATCGTCTGGAAACCTAGGCTTATAACTTCTAATTATAATCACCAACCCGCTAGCGTGATTTGAGCCTTTCAAATCCTTTTCTTTGATCATCAGTGGCCACTTATAGCCTGTTGATGAGGAAAGACGGCACAATTGGTGCGGTGGCTGGGCAATTGGCTGCTGCGCAACGTGTCGCGGGTTCGATTCCCGCACGAAGCAACTATTTGTGCAATCAACAAATTGTTGTTCCGGGTCTAGGTGTCATATGTATCACCGGAGTTGGTCTACTAAGAGGACCCGGTGCCCCCTTCAAGTGCGGATGGTGTCCACCGGGGAGGTTTTAGTGAGGTAAAAATCCCACACTCCCTAGTCTTTTTCCCCAAAAAGCTAGGCGCCGTTGGAAGGTTTCACCCCGTCAACAAAAAAAAGGTGTCATATGTCTATGTGAACTTGTATGTTTGTAAACGCGCCCACGACACAGGAGAAAATCCTAGTGTGGAAAGTTTTATAAAAAAAGATGCGATGATAATGTGAATATATAATTTTGTTCTCAGGTTCAATAACAATAATGTCGTACGCGTGCATGGGACGCACGCTCTGCTCGGTGCGGCCTCCCTTCGACATCGACGAGGGTAATGTCAGCATGCAACAGGTTTGTATAAAGATATTTGAAATAAAATATATAATTATAGTAGTTTATTTCCACAAAATGGCACGGATTGACTTCGAAGACAAACATGAAGGCGTTCAAGCGCCGATTTCGACGCAGACACCATGGCTTGTCCGCGCAAAATCTCATATGTGACTAGGATATCTTCGTACAGCAAGTGTAGATAACATAAATAACATCGATAACTTCTTGTGATAGCAAATGATAATAATTGCATTAAAATCTTCCTAGTCTTCTTGTAACATTCGGAGTCGCGGAGAACCTAACGGGTTACCGGGGCTCCGGCTCGACGTGCAGGAGAAGAAACGGGGTGGTTTTTAGTCAGTTAAGAGTCTGACACTCCCTCCCGCCTCACCCAGGCGGGAGCAGTCATTCTATGATTTTACAACCCTAAAAAAAGTCTTCTTGTAACGCCTCAAATGTGGCGTTAGTTTTCAAGGTTTTACCAGAATGTAATATAATAATAACACACAATTTTAAGCTAAGATGAAACCAGGCACAGTTGCAAACTACGCCTGAAGATAGATTAAAACATTACAATTATTAATTAGGTACTTTATTTTATATATAAAACTGCTGCAGCTGCTTCATTGGCCGAGTGGTCGCAAGTGCGACTGCCGGGCTAGGGGTCTCGAGTTTGCTTCACGGGTCAGGCAAATATTACTGTTTTTTTTAATCTCAGTAGTAGCACGGAGTCTGTAATTGTGCCCGGTATACGGCAATAGGCTCACCTACTATCACATGGGACTCAGTGAAAAGTGGATGTTACATTGTACGATGGTATTAAGTGTCGTAAAGGCACCTTTACCTATCCCTTCGGGGAAAAAGGCGTGATGTTATGATTTCTTTGAAATATGTAAATAAATTATTATAAAATGATAAACATAAATGCATTGGAGCTTGAAGCATGTGTTACTTTCACAGATACACGAGCACAACACAAATACACAGATTATACATTCATACATTACATACACTCAGTGTGCGAACTTATGTATTCTAATTTCATGTTACTTATTCCCTTTTAGTTTTCTGTTTATAATTGTTTAATTTTAATTTTTCTTTTTGTTTATTTTTATAAACTTATGTTTGGTTTATGTCACTAGTATAGTAGGATCGCCTACCACAAGCATAGTCTTGCTTAAAAGGTTTGTTTTCCTATAATTTTGTATGTACATAATAGTTGATGAAACATTTTTTTTATTACTAAACAAAGCTAATTTATAAAAGTAATTTAAACATAAATTCTAAAGTAGCACTTACTTTATTCGAAATTTTCTATAAAATGGTAATTTATATTTCAGACAAGTATCTTTTGAAAATTGGTCAAGTTTGGGTCAGATTTATAAACGAAGTAATTCTTTGTTCTCTAATGTTTACATGTTTTATATCACATTTAGAAGATTTTCAATACGGATGGAAATAAAAAATAAATTGATTTCAGTTCGACACAACAATCACAATTTTTATCACAATCTATAATGATCAATATTCTGACTCGTTGAAAGACTGCCTCGTTGGCCGAGTGGTCGCAAGTGCGACTGCTGGGCCTCGGGGTCTCGGGTTCGATTCCCGGGTCGGGCAAAGTATTACTGGGTTCAAAAAAAATCTCAGTAGTAGCACGGAGTCTGTAAATGTGCCCGGTATATGGCATCACCCCCTATTACATGGAACTCATAACATAAATTATGAAAAGTGGGTGTTACTTCTGTGGGCACCTCTGCCTACCCCTTCGAGGATAAAAGGCATGATGTTATGATGTTTATGATTATGCGTTCTCGATTGAACTCACATTACAGTTCAAAGAAAAACTAAATATTTACAAAATTTTAAAAGAATCCTAAAACTGGACAAGTGGACATACAATATTTTCCTTGTATTTCAGTTTAACGAGTGTTCAGCAATTTATGATCGTTTCAAAACTTACAAACAAGATGATCCATTTGTTGTACGTGTTTATACAAATATCGACTATACACGTCATGTTTTAAGACGAATCTGAGAAAATATCGTTTGAAGTCCTTTACGTGTAGCAAATATTTGCCGATTTATTTGCTTGTAATTTGTTTTATTTGATGAGTTTCGTCTTGAAACGGAATTCCCAAATCTTGGCAAAATGTTTACAAGGTCTTATGAAGTAATGCTTTTTTTAAACAGATACACATAATTATGTAAGTAGAAAGTGCTCGAACCGGTGTTTAATTTCCAATTTTTTTTTAGAAACTATTTGTGTTTTAAACTCCTTTTTGTTTAATAATTCAATAATTATATTATTATCTATAATTATAGTGTAAGTAAACTTCACCTGAAAAAAAAATTAGCAACTAAGTATGTACATAATATAAGAGAGAGATGGAGAGCCATGCTTCGTCACGAATAGGCCGGCTCGACCGGAATAATATCACGGCCTCACAGAAAATCGACGTGAAAAACACTTGCGTTGTGTTTCGTTGAGCGAGTGAGGTTAACGGAGGTCCGATTACCCTCCCTCCCTAATCTGTGCAATCCCTGAATCCCCAACAATCCTCAAATTGTAATCCCCAAAAGGCCGGTAACGCACTTGTAACGCCTCTGATGTTTCGGGTGTCCATGGGCGGCGCCGATTGCTTACCATCAGTTAACTGTAACTTATAATGACTTAGTTAAACATTTGGAATAATATTCTCATAATACAAAAATATTCCAAAGAAATAATAAAGAAATAATTACGTTCATACGAAGGCATATTTTGCTTCGTATACTCAAATAACAGTTTCGACTTGATCTCGTTAAGGTAACACTACCTAAGGGTGTCAGGTAACTGTGTGTTCGTTAAGTATAGTTGAATAAACTCTGGGAAGGTACGAACTCGTTAAGTTAATACTAAAGTTTGTTTAGGAAGGATGTAACTTCAGAAATACATTGTCAGATAATATATCAAAAGTCATTTTGTTGATCCTGTATATGGGACTCCTGAATATAATTTTGCTGATTAAATACTTTAGAAGTAAATTGTGTCAGCGCGCTCTTTAATACAGCTGACTTTCCTTACTACTAATAGTTACACATCTTACCTATGCGATTATGTATAAATTATAATTACAATAAAATATTTAAAACGCTAAACGGTTTTAACTATTACTAATCAAGCCCTTTCGTTTGATATGCATAATGGAGCCAGTTGCGGAAAATAGATCTTATTATATCGTATGATCATCAATATAGAGAGTGTGTTCCAAAATCAGATTGATCTGTCGTTATGAAAAGGGGTGAAATTCCAATTACTTGTGTTAAAAAGGCCATGTGATATTTACTTTTCCTATCCAACCAGACAGACTAGACAGGGGAAGTAAACTCTCCTGTCTGACATGTAATTTATAAAAATACGACAAATTCATATTTACTTACCTAATTAATTAATTAATGGACTTACTGATTTAAATTCTTATACGAGTATTTGTATGTCTCAAATAGGCTGATCACAGCGCACTTTATTCTAAAAATGACCAACCAAATGTACCTGTGTATGTTATTACAAATAAAGGTTTCATTTCATTTCATTTCTATCTTTGTATACGGAACACAAAACTAATGTAATTCTTTTATTAACTACGTTAAAAAAAACGACTTCAATCTTGTTTTTTTTTTCAAATTTGGTCAATCAATATACTAGAACCTTAATATAACAAACACTTTGCTGAAAACCGCATAAAGATTGGTATAGCCAATCCCGAGATAATCACGCACAAATAAACATACATACATACATACATACTATGTATGTAGAACTTTCTTTTTTGATGTCGGTTAAAAATATCTGACAATACGTCTTTTCAATTCAACATAATATCAAGTACGTGTCATATCATGAATAAGGCCTATTCATAACCTTAGAATATATTTTTCAGAAAATTCTATATTATGAGAATACTGACACCATATAAATGAAGCAGCTCTCGTTAAAATAATGATAGACCTGGTTATAGACACATTACCCAAGCAATCAAGGTAATGTTCGAGGTCAGAGTACGTAACATAAAGTTATAATTATATTATTTTCATACATACATAATAATTACTATACAGTGTGTCTTGGTAACCTGCACAGGTTAAAATATTGAAATGTATGCTGAATTTGTTGTCTTAATTGTAACATAACATTACATAACATCACACCGTTTATCCCCGAAGGGGTACGCAGAGGTGCACACAGATGTAACACCCACTTTTCACTATTAATGTTATGAGTACCCATGTAATGCCTTTAATGTCATTACCATATACTTAATTATAAATGAAAAATAATTATTTTTAAAACGACTCCGCCTTGCCCGCGGCTCCGTCCGCGTAGAATATGATTCCTGTTTTACATGGGAGCGTTTCATCGGGATAAAATGTATGCTACCACCTAAGTCAGCTCATACCCTGCCTGTATACCAAATCTCTTCGGCCAGTTTTTTTAAATGGAGTTAAAAACAAATATTTCGTTTTATGAAGACGCTTGATCACTTTATTCATTGTGTACATTAAAAAGACTCCCACTGTAAACGTTTATAATGTTTCCTTTATATTCTATCGATATATATACCTAACACACGTTTATTTATTAACGATGTGCTTGATTAAGGCAATAAAATTGAAGTACATACATAATAATATGGGAAATTGAGTTAATAAATAATTTATGACAATAAAGGATGAGGATAATAATGGGGTCGTTGATCGAGTCCATGAAAGGTGTTTGACATGAGATTGACTAAAATTGTTGGGTACAAGCGGTCGCAAGTGCGACTTGCCGGGCAAGGGGTCTGGGGTTTGATTCCCGGGTCACGCAAAGTACTGAATCTAGAGTCTAGAATTGTGCCCGGTATATGGCAATAAGTTTACCCCCTATTACATGCGACTCATAACATAAATAGAGAAAAGTGAGTGTTACATTGTACAGTGGCATTTAGTGCCGTAATGTGCACCTCTACCTACTCCTTCGGTCGTAAAAGGCGTGATGTTATGTATGTTATAGGACTAAAATTAGCAACAGTCATAAAACATAGACTATAAATAAATTCTGCCTGACCATCAGAATAAAAAAAAGTGATTTTGTGTCAAATAGATTCATTAATGTCTATTACAATGTACTTAGGAGCAAATCAAAAAACCATCTATCAGTTAAATCAAGTGAGTCTGGGGAAAAATACAGTAAACAAAAATCCGTAATACTAAGAAACATCGAAAAATGTGAAGAAAAAGAGAATCGATTTACATAAATTTATTTATTGCTTAACAAATTATCGACTAGACACTTGTTGAATAAATATTACCTAGCTGATATAGGCGCTGTTAATGGAATCTTTTCACATTAAATTGCTCGATAAAAAGGTTTCATTGAAAGTGAAAATTAATATTTATATTACGTCGACTTCTTCGTGTCTATTTTGTTATATAATCGATCATTTATGGCTGGTATTGGTTTCAGTGTTCACAATATTGAGAAGGTTTCGTTCATTTATACTTTAAAACTTCCAGTAACATGGAATGATAGTAATAATTGGTATCGACCAGGTATTTACTTTTGAGATATCATATTAGTGATATCGTATTGGCGAAAATGACTGAACAATTTTTTTATGCGATAAGCGGGTAAATAAGCATACGGATCACCTGTTGGTTAGCAATCGGCGTTGCTCATTGGAACACCAGAGGCGTTACAAGTGCGTTACTGGCCTTTTGGAGATTATAGATTTTTGGGGATTCCAGGGGATATTGGGGAGGGGGGGGGGATAATTGGGTCTACGATAACCTCACTCATATGAAGAAACACAATGCAAGTGTTGTTTTACGGCGGTTTTCAGTGAGGCAGTGGTATCACTCCGGTTGAGCCGCCCCATTCCTGCGGAAACATGGCTCTCCTACACTTAAACTGTACATCTTAATTATGATACTCCTGTCTTTTAAAGGATAGGGCTAAAAAATAACCTAACCATTGTCGAATGAAGTTGGACTTGAGAAAAAAAGGAAAATAGACCAGGCTGTATATGCAACTAACTGAAAATAAAAATACACTTTACTATCTGTAATTAATAAACCTACCTAGTAAACTTCACACACAACCACTTCTTCTTTAAATAACCAGCAAGTTCAATGTTAATGGCACTGAAGATAGTTGCTTAACAATAGCTAGACTTTTTTTCAATTGGGACAAGCCCGCTACAACCTCTTAAAACCGCTGCAACTCCTGTAAGCCAGGATCTACAGTAGATACAACCATGAAAACGGTTCCCGCAACGAAGTGAATCAGAATATATTATAAGAGGAGAAGAAAAAAAAACGACAGTTTTTATGATACGATACTAAAAAACTAAAAAATTGTTAATCTACTAAGCACTTTTTAACAACATACCATTATTCCAGGGTCTAAGACTGATGAAGGAGAGGAAACGAGTGGCGTGGATCCTACTGCTCCTGGCAGTGTTGTTCGCCATGTGCTGGATGCCATACAACATCATGCAGCTGTTGTTAGACGTCAACCTGGTAAACGCTAAGGACCTAAGCATGGTTCTCCCGTACGCACTGTTTATGGGTAAGATATAAATCATAATTTTATTGTTTTTTTTTTGTGGCATAAGCTGTTAAACGAACAGACGGATCACCTGATGGTAAGCAATTGGCGTCGCCCATGGACACCAGGAACACCAGAAGCGTTACAAGTGTGTTACTGGTTTTTTGGGGATTAGGAGTTTGAGGATCGTTGGGGATTCAGGGATTGGGGAGATTGGGGAAGGGTAGGGTGATTGGGCCTCCGGTAACCTCAAACGGTCGACGAAACACAATGCAAGCGTTGCTTCACGTCGGTTTTCTGTGAGGCCGTGGTATCACTCCGGTCGAGCCTGCCCGTTCGTGCCAAAGCATGGCTGTCCCACACTTAATGTTTTGTTCATAGATTCAACACATTAAAGCACTTTTTTTATTATTATCAACAGCCTACATGTGTCCACTGCTGTGCAAAGACCTGTCGCATGGAGAAATCTAAATAGATAACTGTTTTGTTGCACTCTTTACAAAACAAGAAGCGCTTACACAAAATACATTGACTTCAGAAAATAGATTTGCCTTGTGGGAATTAGAAGAACAATATGGCGTGCAGTTTCTAACTGTTTCGCCACAATGCTAATAGCGTTGTCAACTTGAATAAATCGTTGTTTACAAATAATAATGCAGTTAAAATCCGATACATTTTGCTGAACGTCTCTGCATCATTTAGCACCCCCAGAACACCAATCGATTATAAATGACGACATTAACTCATTTGCATTCATAGTGAAGTTGTGCTTTTAATTTGAGAGGTTTCACACTGATAGATGACTATAATTCGATTTGTTTATTATTATTTGTTACTAATTAATAGACTATCGCCAACTCGTGTTAAGCAAGTGTGGTGATTAATGCTCAAACCTTCACCGTGTAAGAAGAGGCCTTTGGCCATTTATAGGCTGTTGATATGATAGACTATGTAGAACTGAAACTATTAGATATGTAGGACGCTTAGGAGTTAACGAGATAACCGCCGCTTAGGTCATGAGTAACGTGACTTAAGTGATCACTATGATTGAACTCATAATAGTACAAAATAGCTTTATGTGTGAATTTTCAGGTTGCGTCATCGCATTGTATTGCTGGACGATGTCGTTTTTGCCATGCCGCAAAGCAGTGTTGTGGTTTCACCCTTATTTACATATTTCTGTGTTTTTCGCCACAAGAGCTGATGTATTGACCTATCTTTGATCTCTAGTTTCAAAAGCTTATCGATAAGTACCTAATCTAAACTTACCTAAAGCTTTTTACGAAAATAACTTAATGGATAAATATAAATTCATACCAATACTTATCGGACTGCTTCATTGGCCGAGTGGTCGCAACCGCGACTGCCGGGCAAGGGGCCTCGGATTCGATTCCCGAGTCGGGTAATATACTTTTGGGTTTTTAAAAAAATCTCAGTAGTAGCACAGAGTCTAGAAATGTGTCCGGTATATGGCAATAGGCTCACTCTCCATTACATCGGACTCATAACTTACATGGTGAAAATTGGGTGTTACATTGTACAGTGGCATTAAGTGCCGTAATGTGCACCTCTGCCTATCCCTTCGAGGATAAAAGGCATGATGATTATGGGTTTACTTATAGGGGTATTGCTATATAGAGAAAGAATTGTGAAGAGATAAAATCAGGGCAACTCTTATTATTGAGGTCTGAATATTAATGAGGTCGTGTACTTAGAGTATATATTTCGTTTCTCTTTTCTTTTTTTTTCACTGCTGATTGAACAACAGTACGTTTCACACAAATATGAATATTGTCCTCTACAAACACATAATATACTCTGTTTTGAATTATTTTGTTTTTACCCATTCCACTCAAATGAGTCTCCGCAATTTCGATACGAGTTCATGATTTTCCAAGGACACATTATTTTTCTTATTTCTTTTGATGTTTCTTGATGCAAATTTTGGTTAAATTTCTTGAAAATATTACTACTTTATAAAACTCGTTTCGTTAACCCAAGATAGCTTTAGATGGAAATAACTTTTCTATACACATTACACAGTAAAGGCTTAAAACACTTTTTACATTTTTTCAATTGACTACTACCTAACTGTGAGATAGTAGTGACAGGTTTTGTTTTTCTTAACACTTTTCTCCAAGTACAATGATCGGATTTATTCTGCCGTCTGTTCCTTAAACAGAATTTTCTATTTTCACATAACTTTGTAAAGACAGCATGTTATTACAGTAGGTAGCTATAATGTGTTATGGCCTGGATCGCTCTTGACACAGAAACAAGTAACAACTTGATGCTTACTCAAGAAGTTAAGCAGAAAATCAGAACTATTTACATAGTTAGCTGTACTCGACTACCCTTCAATTTGTTCTGAGTTTAATTAAAAGTTCAGAAGCAAAGCAGTTGAAGTGACGTCTCCTTGGTGTAAACTCTAGAGGCTACAAGTTGTATTTCGTAAATATTGAAGTTTACCGTACGTAGGTTGGTATGTATGTACATAGGTATATACGCCTTGTAGTCTTAACCCGTCGAGCGTCCGCGTTTCTTATGATCCAACGGGTACACACGTGACATTTGGAGAAAGAAAGAAAGAAAGAAAATCCATTTATTTGGCCATTGGCACACGAAAACAAGGATCATTACAATAGAAATAAAAAATACAGTCAAAATAAAAACAAAACATTAATAATAGATTCTATAAAAGAGAAAGCAGCATGGAGCATTTTTTCTTATGATCCACCGGGAGCTCATAAGGACGCTCGAGGGGTTAAAGAGGTTAATAGTTTTGAAAATGTAAAAAATTGGTAAGAACTTTTCGCCAGCTATGCTCATGAATCCTTTAATATACAGTACCTAGAGAATTGATACTGATTTTTATTATTAAAACAAATCGTGGCTCAATACCTACTTTCTATTTTCGTCAAAGACCTCTTTATTATATACCATGTCCAAGTATTAATTTTCTTCTTAGACCAAGTCAATAACAAGATTGTGTTAAAAAAGAAAAGTAGGTTTAAGGTAACAAATCAGCTCTTTGCTTCGATATAGTGATGATATTGTTCCATCCTACTGTACTTGTAAACAGAAGCACTGACAAACAGTACGGAAGAAAATCTATATGTATGACATTATTATGTGAATATTAAATAGGCTGCGGTTATTGAATCTGACGATAACATTCTCGTCACGTTTGCTCCACATGTATTGTGTAATATGGCGGCAAGAGGCGTGATGATGCATTTTATTGAAAGCATAACGTATTATTGTTAGACTTTTACATAACATCTAAGTGACTGGGATAAGCTTCCAAGATGAATTTTGCTCTGTCGGTCAACAGAAGAAGATAAAGACGTCTTATACCGAAGTATAAGACAGCCTACTCCCGTTATGTAAATATAGCTGTCATTTAGTATCATTATGATAGGTGGACTTGTTGACGTTCCCGAAATAATTATGATAATCAACGTGATCATAAAGTCAATTGAGGCATATATCTTACCAAAATCGTCGAAAATGGATAGGTATGAGTGATACCCTGAATCGAGAAGTTAAGCAAAAATAGAAGAAAGCTTATGATGGTCATCAGGGGGTGATCCCAGCTAAACTAATAATTACTAAAATATTGTCAACAGGCCACGCCAACTCAGCGATCAACCCAATAGTATACTGCTTGATGACCAGAAACTTCCAGCGGTCGGCGCGCAAGTTGCTGTGTGGCCGCGGCGTGTGTCAGCAGACCAACTTCACGGTAAGATAAATATTTAATTACTAATTGTCAAGAGATAGGTAAAAGGTTATTGGGCTAATCTTTGCGTGATCGAATCAAAATTGAGAAGATCCGCATACAAACTAAAGTCGCCCACAAACATAGCCCAGCGCATTCGGAAGTTGAAATAGCAGTAGGCAGGGCACCTAGTGTAGAGAACCAACGGCCACTGGGACAGAAAGGTTCTCGAGTGGAGGCCGCGTACCCGCTAGTGCCGCGTTAGACGTTCACCCACAGTCAAGGTGGACTGACGACCTGATTAAGGTCGCAGGGTGCTGCTGGATGGAGGACGTTTCCAACTGGCCTATCTGAAAATTATTGTATATGTGTATTATGTTTAGTGACGGATTTTTTAAGGCTGATATGATAAAGAAGCTATGATGGACTACTTTTCTTCCAGTAGTCACACTTCAGTATAAAATCTGACTTTTATTCCTCGTAGAATATATAGTAGTTCTCAATACACCATATCTTTGTAAATTACATTGAGTTCCAGAAACTTAATAATGAAATGTTATTGAAAATAGTGAATTTTATAATTAATTTTTTCTCGATTTGAACATTATCGAGCCTTAAACACTCTTTTAACTAAACGACATTCAACCAAAGAAACAGACAAAAATCGTTTCCTAACTTTCGCCTTTACATTTTAACGAAGCAGATTATCAGAATGATCTTTAGTTACAGATTAAGTTCAGGGATTCGTGTTACTTTGATTACAAAGTAAAACCCGGAGTCAGATCATCTATTTGATCTCTGGAGGTTGGGGAATAATATCTGAGTAATGAAGCAGGGTCACGTTCTGGCCCACATTGAACACAAGCATAAATGTTTGACCGCACCTCAGCGTTTGATTTGTATGTCAGTCTAGACGATGAGTACACAAGTAATGGTAACGCATAGAGCTACAAGTAACCACTTCATCATGATCTCCGTTTGTATAATTTGTCCGCATTATCGACGGTCAGCGTATACTGGTTCTGCATAGCTTGATGTATACACACAGTATACATCCTGAATCACAGAGTACACGAGGAACATAATGTTAATGTATGCGTAATCCCATGTTCAGGGTACGTAACGCCCTACTTTGTTAGTGGATGGCCTTCTGTGGAATGAATATGTTTATGAGAAGTTACACCGTAGCATTTTTGGTTTGATTGCTTATGTAATTGTAATTTCAGAGAATGTAATATGCCCCGTGTAAAAGGAGCGGTTCCATTGCCTCATCTGGACATTGCCGGGCCTTTCAACGCTGTGTGTTGTAAAAGGTTTACCTATTTCGCTATAGAAGGTTTTGAATTCAAACATTGTAGGTACTTGTGTCATAAAATTACGATATAATATTTCCAAACACTCCTTTCGGAAATATTAATATACTATTTTATTGAGTACTAGCGACCCGGCCTGGCTTCACAGGGTTGCAATATGCATGTATTATACATTTAAACCTTCCCTAAGAATCACTCTATCTATTAAAAGAAAGCTTTAAAATCAGTTGCGTAGTTTTAAAGATCTAAGCATACATAGGGACAGACAGACGGCGGATAGCGACTTTGTTTTATTGCATGTAGTCAAGGCGTTAATTTAAAACCTTTGTGTGTTTGTTTATTATATTACCTACTCGCAAATTATGTAATTACAATCACACGACTAGTGAGAAAGAAGCTACATAAATACCGTTTATCGAGGTCTCACTTCATATGATCTTCCCACTAATTCAACGATCAGTTTATACTGGTTTTGAAATGCCGTGTGTAGCCGTATGTTCCAAGGCAACATCGCTTTATCAAGCTAAACACTAGCAGCTCATGTTGACATTAAATTGAATCTCAAAATGGATGCTGCAGTAACATCATTAATTTAGCCTGAAAGCTATGAAACCACGAGAAACCAGAACCTTTGCCGTTCTTTATAAAATTAAACCTTTTATGAAAATATTGACATTTTACCTGTTATAACTTGTTTAAAATTTTATTTTTTAGAAGCTTCCTTTATCGCAAAGGAAATGAATAACCAAACTCCTATATTACACTTTACTGATGACAATAAAAATCCAATCAGACCAAATCGATTTAATTTGGGATCGCACAGAATTTGGAGCGATTCCTTTGGGCGTTACAAACGAGAATGAATATTCATTATAATTTTATGAAAATCCTAATAACATGACTAGCTAAGTAACTACAGTATACTAGCTTCTGTCAGTGGCTTCGCCCGTGTTCCAGTAGGGTGAAGAGTCCATGTATTAAAAGGCCTATGTTTTATTCCCATTCCAGACCAAATCTACAATAAAGTTCCATCGGTAAAAAAAAAAGAAAAAACAAATTTACCCTTCTTCTAAATTTAATCTCTACCTCGTAGTAACAAACAAACATACAAACTACCGTATTTATAATATTATAGTAGGATTAAAAGTAGAAGTTTATGCAGTTGTATTTACTGAATTGAATGAGTTTTTTTTCTGAAATTAAATAGCTTATTTCTGTTTCCGTTTTTATCTGTGTGAAAGGTGGTAATTTAATCATTATTGGCCTAATTATAATATGTATTAATTCATTCAATACACACTTAAAATAAAAATTATATCCCTCTTCATGTTCTGTTGAAATAGGTTCAAGATAAAAACACTATTTCAAATTTTATCTATTTTCAATTCACTTAAAAGGTTGAATCTATTCTCAGGTCAAATAAAACCAATAAAGTAAGATAAACAAACAGATACAGTTTCACAATCTGCATTTTATTTCATTTAAAAGTCAAATCTGCATTGGCCACAGCACAATACACTACAGTGTAGTTTAGAATATTAAAGTGTAGTGACTACACTTTAATATTCAGTCTTTCAAATAACTAAACTACATTTGAGTGCATAAAACGGAGCCACTAGCGTTTTTATTTCATTTCTTAATAAATATTTTCTGAATCAAGTATTTTATTAATTGGTAACGTATGTCGTATAAAGCAATTTAGTTACCTACCTTATTTAGGTTTATAAATTGTCGGCAAAGCGCATGTAATGCCCTATGTGTTGAAAGCGTTCATAGGCCACGGTAACCATTTACCATCAGGGTGCTTACTCTGGAAACCAATCTCAATGTTAATCCAATTTCAATCCAATAAAATCTCTATAATTATTCAATATCAAAACTATACAACCCGTATCGTAGCTGTTAAAATAGCATTCAGAGTACGAAATATAAAGCTAAACTCAATACTATTTAGTTCATTCAATGTCCACGCAATACGGATATAACGGGCGCTACTGCAACTCGAGAGTACTTATTTTTACAATATCAATGTCTATCGATTGGAATTGGATACAAGAGTAGACGCCAGGTGGGCCGTATGCTTTTCTTGCCACCGTCGTGGTATAAAAAATCCTTTAAAATAAGAGCATGTCGTTGTTAGAAGAGTATTTTTTTTAAGTTATATAAGGTTCTGTTATAAGTTATTATAGCCCTACCGTACCATGCTCACGTGGATGCGTCACGTTTACCTAGTCTTACACGTTTTATTTCGTTCATTTATTACAATGATACACTTACTTTGGACCTCGTACCTCGCACGGCGCCAGTAATTTAGTCGAGTTGCAAATATTTTAGTAGATCTCTCTTGCTTCCATTTTGTGACAGAAGCGAGAGAGGACCACTGAATATTCGCAACTCGACTACATTACTAGCATAGTGTGAACAAGGCTATTTTCTTATTATTGTTTTAGACATTATGACTGCTTCATTGGCCAAGTGGTCGCAAGTGCGACTGCCGGGCAAGGGGTCTCGGGTTCGATTCCCGGGTCTGGCAACGTATTACTAGGTTTGTAAAAACCTTAGTAGTAGCACGGAGTCTGGAAATGTGCCCGGTATATGGCAATAGGCTCACCCCCTATTACATGGGACTCATAACATAAATAGTGAAAAGTGGGTGTTACATTGTACAGTGGCATTAAGTGCCGTAATGTGCACCTCTGCCTACCCCTTCGGGGATAAATATACTTAAATATTTTACCGATGTCCTAAAATCCTACGAATACGAATTCGTACTGGGAATTAAATTCACATTGCGATGGAGGGAAACTATTTCAAATTCAGCACTGGATTTTACATTTCTCGAATTCTTAAACATTTTTATTTTAGTATTTCCAAATATAAATAAAATTACATAACCTCACGCATAATTCCTACAGGGGTTGGCAGAGTTTATGGAACACCAAAAGCAGTACAGTTGTATGATTCTTACATACGTTTTTCCATTCAACAGTCATGAGTCATTTAATGCATGCTCGTTGGTTCAGTGTATTTTAATTTAGCAATTCTTTAATAATTCGTCAATCTGTTCGATATTTGCCCGTCTAGAGTGCCCTGTACCGACAGTCTCAGTCATATACGCTCTATATACTTTTAATATAACATAACATCACGTATGTGCTTTCTAAGATTATTTAGTCGCCGTGACAAACGGTGAAGGAAAACATCGTGAGGAAACCTGGGCTTATAATTTCTAATTATAAGTTTGAAATTGTCAACCCGCATTGAGGAAGAGAGTGAGCTTTAACCTTCACCGTGTGAGAAGAGGCTTTGCTCAGCAGTGGGCATTTATAGGCTGTCGATGATGACATATAACTTGGATAAAGTCACATTGGTACTTGCCGTTGGCAGGCTTCGAAACCGCGCCCAATTGCTTGAGAATTGGGCGTCTTAAACCTCCTTTCACGACGTTCACATTAATTATTTTAATTTCATAACTCTATTACTCTTACCTCTGTCAGTATAAAGTTGAAGAAAATCTTAAGTAAGAAACTAAACTGTAACAGTGTTATTGATCTTGTTTTACAACTTTATGAATATTCTAGGTATTCTATAACCAACTGAATGCTATGTTTAGTTCAACTTGAAACGAAGTTTCTAATTTAGTATTTACCTGGCTTAGTTATTAGAATTTATATGAATTGTGGATTTTAATATATTATTTATACTACTTACTTACCCTCTGTTTATGTTTTCGTGATAAAATTCCTGCGTCGTTGACCGAGTGGTCGCAAGTGCGACTGCCTGGCAAAGGATCGCTGGTTCGATTACCGGGTAAGTAATACTGGGTTTTAAAAAAATTCGCAGTGGTAACACGGAGTCTGGAATTGTGCCCGATATATGGCAATAGACTCACCCTCTATTACATGGGACTCATAACATAAACAGTGAAAAATAGGTGTTACATTTTACAGTGGCATTAGGTGCCGTAATGTGCACGTTTGCCTACCCCTTCAGGGATAAAAGGCATGAAGTTATTTATGTTTTAAACTGTCAAACACCAAGCGGTCACCGGTGACCGCAACCTATTGTTCTTTAATTGTGTCTATAAATACGGTACTCGACGAGTTAAAAAGCAGTATGCACGTTATTATTTCATTTATATTCATGTTGTCAGCTCATGATAAAAAAATGTAATAATGTTTGTCTTATGTTCTTATTAGTACCAATAATTTTAATTCCTTCTTTTTATGAAATACATACTTGAAGTTGAATAAATATTTCTTAACAAATTACATACTTATAAAATAATAGGACTACTCCTAATGAGTCGTTACAATACTCTACAGTTTGAAATATTTATTGTGCCTGACAATAATTCTTATATGATAACAATTGAGCATACCTAATTGGAGTAAAAGTGGGCGTAGACACGTCGGCTATGAAAGACGTGTAGTTCTAGATACTTTTTTCTCAGAAAAACATACGAAATATTGTGTTTAACTGAATAAAAATAGATAAGATATTATTCCATCTCGAAAATCGTACTGCGGATTATTCTACCTTGCAATGTATTTAAGTTACAAAATATATATGTCGTAGTGTGAGTAAAAGTAAATAATGTCACATTATTGTTGCGTAATCTATTTTTGTATTAAGTTTCTTTCAAAGAAATTCTGGTATTTTTGTTCGGTAGGTACCTACATACGTAACCATAATAACTACATTATTTTGTGAGCGTCAATAATTTGATATGTACGTTGGATAGTAGTCGTGTTCTTGTCTGACTTTGCCTTAGACTCGATTATTTTATTTTGTTCAGTAAGACAGTTTCGTGTGAGAATTCTACGTACCTATGTGTGTGTGTGTGTTCTACAAATAAAATAGGTAACTCGGTAACATTTTCATAAGGATGCGTCCACATCTGCCGCAAATGTGCAGCACGCGAGCCGATTGCGAGCTTCCCGCAAGCTGCGCGCGTGCAGTCACTGCAATGGTTTGGTGAGCCTCTTTAGCGCAACTCATACAAGGCTCGTTTAGAGCGCGCGATCTGCGCGCGCTCAGTTCTCGCCCCAGTTCCGTTTACTGGCTCAGTACTATCGAAGATGTTAGACGACTCTAGTGTTTTTAATATAATTGCTGCATCATTAGCTATTATATTATTACTGATAAAAAGGAAAAAAAAAGAGACAACGGCGTTGGTGGCAAAATCCTATTTTTAAAATAAAACAGAATTTTAAAAGAGAACAGAAAATTAAGCGTAAACAATTCTCCTAACGAACTGAGCGAAATAACTAGCGCGCCGCCCGCGCGCTGATCGCGTACGGCGCTTAGGTCGCGCGCGAACTGCGCCCGGGCGGCGCAGAAGCGGCGCACGAACAAAAATGCACGCGCGCAGCTCGCGGGTAGGTCGCAAACAGCTCGCGAGCTGCACATTCGCGGCACATTCGCCAGATGTGGACGCACCCTAAGACGTTTTTGTGCACGCTTGTGTTTTCCATTTGGTTCTGATAAATCGTTCGTATTTCGTAAATTAGAATAATCTTTCGGAAATCTTGCTTTTTATAGTTCGTGTACTTAAAGGTACTTACTGTCATTAGTGAGTTTTACTTTATTATGTATTTAAACCATAATTTTATAAAAAACAGCCTAGTTGGATCGCGAATCGAATAAATTAATAATATTTTACTGTTGTCTTAATTCCAATTATTATTGGTCTAGACTGAAATTTGATGCGGGACTTAGAATTCCTAAATCATAATATTGAAAAAAAGATGACGACATCAATTACCTACATTTTGAAAGATCAAGGCTATACTAATAAGCGAAACAAGTGAATTTATTTCTTCAAACAGGCTACAAGTCAGCCCTATTACATGTCAATTTTATTAAGCAAACGATGGGGCCAACATTTCCTAACTGACTACTCATAGAATAAATGCCGAAACAAACTCAGAGGTCTGTCTCATAAGTGGCAAAATTACTAGAATAGTATTCCTTAAATTCGAGGTGTAATAAATCAAATAAATTCATTTGATTTCAGGACAAATGGCTAGTCATTATTTACATTCATCATGGAGGTTGGAACATATGACTTTAGTTCGCGTTAGCGTGACAAATGAGATGGCTAGCTCACCACTGGGTTATTAACTATCATTAACCGTATGGACCTTTACAAATTCTCGGCTCACCTGGTCAAAGTTACAAATGAATACGAATAGGATAACGGTTTGCTCTCAAATTACCCTTTGTTGGATAATCGAGTTATTTATCTCACCCTAGCCTTTGTCTTGGTATATTGTTAATACAACTAGTAGTCAATTTTGATAATATAACTAGGTGATATTATAAAAGACTGAATGTGTTGACGACAAATTAGTTTATGATATAACATTTAATTAATTATTTATGTTTTATGATATTAAATATTTGCGTGCCTGAACTGGTGAAATGTGAGGATTTTAAAAACTATTGTATTGTATTTGTTTTTATTATATTTTGTTTATATATATATATATATATATATTATTATACTATGTATTGATATTATAATTGTAGTGTATCGTTTTTTATGCAAATAAAATTGATTTGATTTGTTCTGATTTAAATATAACAAATTATTATCATTAGACTGTACTTGTCTGTAATGACAAATGCAATATTTGTGCAATAAATAAATATGATAAAATTCAGACAGAAAATACCCAGATCTTTTAGGAAGAGATTTTCCATTTGATCAACATTTTTGTCAATATATCATCATTATGGTTAAACATTCTTATACACACACCATACATAAACTAACAAGAGAATCATAAACGTTAAAATCATACAGAAACCTCAACTACGAATTCACAAAACATTTTCAACTTTCAATGAATTGAAACTATTTCGTAACAAAATTCTGAAACTATTTGAACTATAGAACTGAATATTTAGAACGTTTCAGCTTTCAACAACTTTCAATGAACGTTAATACTGAATACTTTAGGGATATACATATCTACGACACTTTGAATGGAACCTTCTGGAAGGCCGAAGAAGTTGTCACAATATTTCTTCTGTCGTTAGGGAAAAACTTTTAGTACTGTTTTTGATAAGTTTTAATAGCATTAGGAATGTGTGTGTGTGTAAATAATAATATTATAGTACCTAGTATGTATATGTAATACAAAGTTATTATTAAAGGTATTTATTTGAAGGTCATTTATATTTTTCAGGTTGTAATATTAGAAATGTGTTAGTAATAAATAAGTACTGTAATTGACACATAACATAATCACGTCTTTTGTCCCCGAAGGCGTAGACAGAGGTGCAAATTACGGCACTTAACGCCATTGTACAATGTAACACCCACTTTTCACTATTTATGTTATGAGTCCCATGTAATGTGAGCTTATTGCCATATACCGGGCACAATTCCAGACTCTGTGCTACTACAGAGATTTTTTTTTAAAACCCCAGTAGTACTTTGCCCGACCTGGGAATCGAAGACCCACTTGCAGTAGTCGCACTTGCGAACACTCGGTCAACAAAATGTCATCATTACTTAATTTTATATTTTGTTAACAGTGGCGCTGTGCTCAGAAACCTGAAGGTTCGTCAAGTGACTACGAGCTGTACCACGAACCACATAAAAGGTGCTACTTACAGGTCAGTTAAGTATATGAAATTCCCACCTATAACAACATATACACCTATATAAAAATATATTATTTCAAAGGTTTTCAGTATCTACATTACGTTTTCCAATGATCAATTCCATTTCTACATTTATAATATCTATCATTTTTACATCCTTTTTACTTAAGTCTTTTCATCTTTTTTGACGAAGGTATATCGCAGCTATCTAAGACGTAATTGGGCTAAGTAATGATGCCCTATATAATGTTAATAGTACAAACATTTTAGGCTAAAAATCTCAACATCTACTTGGATTACAATATGAGGCAACTGCCTAGTTATACATCGTTTAGTAGTAATTCTAGAGGTCACCGCTAGGGTCCGCTACTTAAATTTGCTTTAGACGACACCTGATCGCGATACCACCTAGCATTAGCTTACCTGCCTAAATTCACAAGGACGAAAATAAATGAACAGTCTCTGGAACCTCCGTTTTGAGGATAAGGTGAATTCATTTTAGTTACCTAATATATAAATGATAAATTTACTCGTGAACTGAAGTGTAAATGGAATTTTATTACAAAAGAGCGTCAATAGTCTTTTATTAAACGTAGAATGATCATATTTTTGTAAAACATACCTTATTTGTTACGAAAATAAAGTTGAATAGAAAAATAAAACCCGACAAGTCACAATATTAGAATTACATTATAGACCTTATTTCCAATGTTTAGAGACTACATTTGTATGATCAAATTTAGGGGATGGATTTAAACGGGTTGATCGTAAAAAAAACCTAACCTAATATTCAACAATATGTGTGCAAATCAGTATTTTTGTTTTACGGTTCATTTTTTTTTTTTTGATATGCAGTAGGTTATTAGTGGAAAAAATTAGTTTGCTTAATTTTTTAAATACAGGTGCCGTAAAAAATCCCCACAATAAAATCCTACAACACTGCTGCTAAATGTGCATCGTAACACTATCTCCTACCAAAGATTAGCTAACAAGAATCCTAACAATTTCACAAAGAGTATAAGTCGAATAAGAATAATCTTGAAGAAACCGCTCCTTCTCAAGGTGTTCGAAGATAAAACTCCTCCAAGTGTACTTAAGAAGTTTCTGCATTCACAAACCAACTTCAGGAGATACATCTTGGCTGGGATTTCATTTTATCTCGGTCAATTTGTTAAACGAGGCCAAGTTGGTTATGCTCCCGAGGACCTATGAATACATATTAGTATTCGCATAAATTAGTATGTAGGCATTATATGTTGTTTAATAGTTTTGTTTATATGGCAATAAATCCTTTTATTAACTAATATTATAAGGGTTAATGTCCGTGAGCGTGAATGGTGACGTGGAAATCAAATGATATTACCTCTATAATTTTGTAGAACGACGACGCTACCTTTTTCCTGATATTACGTTCCTGTGGAGGTTGTTGACACGCACACGAATGGAACCATTCTAAAAATTCGTTAGTCTATTAACTTCTAAATCCACGATTACGAAAAATTCACAATATTTGTTCGTACAAAAATAGTCTCTAAAGATCGGAAATAAGGTTTATAATGGAGTAAGTGGACAGTGGTAACCGGTGTCCGCTTGCGGATTCAGCAGTAGTTAGTAAATTTTGTACGGCGCAGGTTTCAGAGAAAGATTTTTATCACATTAAACGCCATGGGGGTCCCTGTGGCCGACACGTTAGCGGAGGATTAGCCTTCAACAGTTTTCTATTGGCAGTCAGAACCTTAATAAAGTGTTTTATAATTTTAGAAAAAATAAAATTTGAATGAATAAATAAACCTGGTCACTAACCGGTTAAGCTCGTTTAGTTTTGTTCCCAACCCAAGTATAAATAAATGCGGTAATTAGTTTTGTACTACAAAACGAGGGAAAGGCCAAATAAATTGCGAGCCGACTATTAATCTACACGGTACGGGAAACAGAAGTTACTGTCACAGAACAAAGCCTTTAGTTCGAGATTGTATCCGGAATTCGTAATGTCAAGTAGCCGACGTGGATTTCTCAACCAAAGTTAATTGAGAGTACTTTGTGTTGTTGTCAAAGACGTACTTTACTGATTTGTCTTTACTGTTTCGGATTACTATAATCGAAACGGATGAGATATTTTTAGTTAATGGTATATTAATATCACCAAACAATTGACACAGAAAAAAATGTACGCACTTTTACTACATTTTGTCAACTGATCTTCAACCGTACTAGAATAAGTTTGCTTATTTGCGTCCACCAACAAGTACTTGTCCATGAAACGCTCTTTAATTCTGAAAATAAGAAAACTATAGCCATAGTAGTATTTAGAACACACCTGTTTGACCTTTACACAATTTACCCAATCTCCGAATCCCCAACCATCCTCAAACTCCTAATCCCCAAAAGGCCGGTAACGCGTAACACCTCTGGTGTTCCAGGTGTCTATGGGTGACGCCGATTGCTTACCATCAGGTGATCCGTCTACTCGTACACCGGCTTATGCCATAAATAAAAAAAAATAAGAATCTTATATTCATGGTTAACCGTAAAATGGACGCAAACAGAGGGCCAAGCACGAATAACTATCGCATTCGTATCGTAACAGTATCGAGCAAGTTAAGCGTTCTGATTGGTTGGTTCACTTGAGCCGGCCAATCAGAGCGCCGAACGCGCTGGATACTATTACGTTACGAATGTGATAGTTATTCGTGGTTGGCAGTCTGGTGGGTAGACGCGAACAGACTTACCCTATTACAATTTATTCATTCCATAATTATTCTAATCCCTTTTTATTCACAGATGCACAATCTCCGCTACAACGGGCATGCATACAGCACGCACATTCCCCGCGGCATCGAGACGCGTGCGCAGACGACACAACTGAGTCACGTGACACGATCCTCCCGCCGCACGGCGCCTGCACACGCCTTGTCAGTAGAAATGCTGCAACGTCATGGACTCATTGACTTCAAACGTTAGAAAATTAGAGTTTTATGGTTGTGTGTGAGTGATTGAGTGATGTTTAGATGTAGTATAGCAAAAAGCCAACGAGAAGTGGGCAATGGGCAGCAACATCGTCAAAATGTTCAGTGATAAAATAACTACAATCACCAGCCGAGCATATGGAGTACATACAACAAACTCCAACTTAAGAGAGATGCCTTTGTTGAGAAATTAGTGTATTTGTAATACTGATGAGTGACTTTTATGAGTGTACATAAATGAGTGCATTAAACCAGAGCTTATATATAGCCTGTAATTATCGTACCTTAATTAATTTCGAAAGCTCTTAAAATAGAGTGGGCAGTAACTGAATTAACTGGAGTTTGTACGGAGATGTTGTTTAGCTTGAGAAAACATAAAAATGATATGTATATGTACCGTACCGTGACGCTAGGAGGATTAGCCTTTAACAGTTTTTGTCAGCAGTTAAAGGCCAAAAAATATATCATTATTGGCCGAAATTTATCGATCTCAATCCAATCCAAAAGATTTATCGAGACGTTAGTTTTAGTGAGTTTCAATCAAAAAACAGGATTGCAGGCTGCTGGTCCTTGAATACTAATAAGGCAAGTCGTTCTCTAACGTCGTTCAACACTAATCGTGTTCGTAGAGAAAGTGTAAATGATATAAACATGACATAATTTAATTTAGCTCTTTGCTAGAAATGTTATGTTCCAATCCAACTGACGGGGTACATAAATATTCAAATGATGATTCTCGGTATTCAACTGGCCTGGATTAATATTATTTGGAATTAAAAACAAGTCAGTGGGGGATTTTAGGTAATTTGCTAGTTCTGGGAAATTACCTGCCCACAGTTTAATTGTAAGGGTTTTAAATTTTACAGCTATTTAAATTCAAAGTAGCTTAATAATTTATTCCACGGATTCTGTCGAATTTGTAAAGTTTTGTAAACAAATCGTATTACCTCATATTTTATCGACTAATACATAAATGTGTTTTTGTCAATATTAAATAATATATATATATATATATTATTGTGCAGTCTAATTACTGTTCTCACATAAATAATTAAAAACAATTTTAAGTTTATAATTTTACATGCAATCACTTGCTACGAACATGCTGGCTGAAAATCTTAAGAAAATGTCACTATGATTAAAAAATATTTAAATTACGGAAGTGCGAAAAATCTCATTATGTTTTTAATCCCTCTGGCGTAGCCTTGTTAGCTTCTTCGGTGGCTAATTAATAACTGTTTTTAATTAAAAATGTGACAAGTCATTAAGTGATTTTTATGTTAATTTCTTGCCGCGACGGACGTTAAGCTGTCTTTGCATAATATTTTGATAGAAAAATGTTCAAGAATTTTTGTTATGAAATAAAATTACAATTTATAATTAAATTATACATTATTTTTTATGCAGTATAATTGATTAAATTACATTAATGTAAATATTAATTATAATTAAATACTTATCACAGAGCTTTTTAGAATTGTAATTAACCCTAGTCATGATTTACGACGTAGATTAATTATTATTTAATATTAATAATCTTGTAATGTCACAATTTAATCCTAAAAGTCTTTTCACAGAGACTTTGGAACAAGATCTTTTTTAAATATAATGCTTACTGTATTGGTAGAATTAGCATGAAAAGGGTTTAAAAGATTAGCGGTTCGTAAAATATCAGATTTGTCGGACCAAAATGTAAATACAAAAATATAATGTAAATATTTTTTGTATCTAAATGTTGATTGTATAAGTTAGTATAATAAATGTTAGATTTTTTTATATTCAATGTGATACTAATGTATAAAGAATATACGACGAATAAACACATAAATATGTATAACTTTGTTTTACTTACTTTGCGTACTAGTACACCGTGTAATCTATTTTATTTGCGTCTCGGTAATACAATAGTTCTACAAAGAAATAAAATATGTAAAACAAAAAATAACTGGTGAACCATTGCAAAAAGTAAACATCGAAAGCGCACACGAACTAATAGTACACTATCATTAAAAAACCGACTTCAAAAACCAAAAACTAATAACAAACAAAAAGTCAATACTAAAAAGCAAAAAATAACTATTATTAGTACTGATAGGTTACCCACCCACTGATAGGTAAGAAGTCGGTGCCATAAGTTCCATACAAAATTATTCATTAAAACCTTAATAGGTATCTAATTCACAATTTTGTGGACATTAAGTTATATCATTATGATATGAGCTTATGGCACCGACTTCTAACCTATCAGTGGGTGGGTAACCTATCAGTACTAATAATAGTTATTTTTTGCTTTTTAGTATTGACTTTTTGTTTGTATTAGTTTTTGGTTTTTGAAGTCGGTTTTTTAAACGCAGTTTTTATTTTATTATTTTACCATTTTCAGTGTAAAGCTACATATACCCGTTTTGTTACTTATAATATACATAGGTGCAAAGTCCTCATCAATACAAATTAATCAAACCCAAACTCAAGGTAGTTACTGTATACCGTTGAGGAGTTCCCTTAACAATTACACTTCTTCATCATCAGACCCTTAATGACAGCCCCACTCTATCTAGGTGTAAAGTCCTCATCAATACAAATTAATCAAGCCCAAACTCAAGGTAGTTACTGTATACCGTTGAGGAGTTCCCTTAACAATTACACTTCTTCATCATCAGACCCTTAATGACAGCCCCACTCTATCTAGGTGTAAAGTCCTCATCAATACAAATTAATTAAGCCCAAACACAAGGTAGTTAATATAAACCACTGAGGAGTTCCCTCGACTGTCTGTCGGCTCCATCATCAGGTCGACTCCAGACCCTTATCAAATTGTAGTGTTTAAAATTCGTAATTGAAAAACATAATAGACGCATTACTCCCCCATAGAATTTTCGACAGTTCCCCTCGGTTTCCCTAGGATCCCATCATCAGATCCTGACTTCATGGAAATGAGACCATCTCGGGAGTACACCCTTTCAAACGAAACAAAAATTTTCGAAATCGGTCCACAAACGGCGGAGTACTGCGCAAACAAACAAAAAAAAAAAAAAAACAATCAGCCGAACATAGTACCTCCTCCTTTTTTTGAAGTCGGTAAAAACATCACGTCATGTAATTTTCGAAGAGGTCTCGTCGGGCGCACGTACGATGCGAATAGTGCCTACAAATTTACGTCTAGCGGCTCATGTGCGTATTTCCATGGAATTGTTTATGAACTAAAAATAAATTACAACGTTTTTTTTTTGTTTTTTACTTTATACATCGAAAGTACTTATTATGGCGAGTTTGTTTGCTGTGAACAAAAAAAAAACAAAATATATTTCACGGTTTCACGGGGTATTTTCTCGAAACACTAATCGAAGTACAAGGTTCTTTTTAATATTTATTTTATAATTAGGTCTTTTTTCCTAAAAGGAAAACTAAATACTGCCTCGTTGGCCGAGTGGTCGCAAGTGCGACTGCTGGGCAATGGGTCTCGGGTTCGATTCCCGGGATCGGGCAAAGAAACACTGGGTTTTTAAAAAACTCAGTAGTAGCACGGAGTCTGGAATTGTATCCGTTATATGGCAATAGGCTTACCCCCTATGGGACATGGGACTCATAACATAAATAGTGAAAAGTGGGTGTTACATTGTCAAGTGGCATAATGTGCACCTCTGCCTACCCCTTCGAGGACAAAAAGGCGTGATGTTATGTTAAGGAAAAACTAAACCATGAAAATAATAAAATCATAAAAAAATATCAATCATCCATTAACCTTCACAAAGCTTCATCCATAAATTGAACTAAAAGCAGCCATTATTGGAAGAAATGCACCACTTCAAACAATTCACAATCCTAAGAGGAAACCGGTTTATCTTGAACCGAGAACATATTTTTTACTTTTTGCATAAAAATCCAATAGAAGAACAGACAGTTTGTCGTTCGATTAAAAAAGGTAAAAATGTAACATCTACCTCTACTACTACCTCTAGAAACGAGAACGTTCGATAACTCGATTATCGATAAAAATATTAAACTCAGTCGATTAAAGCTCTTTGACAAAACATGGATTAATAATTGATACTTCCTAAGATTATATTCCTATTACAGGATTACCAACGTACCATCATTATTATCATTTTATTATTATATTTTATTCTAATTGTACTTTCGTTATTCTTTACCTTCCTTGTATTAATACTCTTTACTATTAGATAGCTCACCTCTTTTCTTTAATATTTTTTCCTTCTAACAAAATCTGTCGATACTTTTGTTTCCTTATTTTTCCCTAAGCCGTAGAATTTTCCAATATGAAAATGTTTTTTTATGGAATAACCGGTAAACGAGCAGACGGATCACGTGTTGGTAAGTGGAATTGACGACGCCAATGGACACCCTAAACACCGGAGGTGTTACAAATACGGTACCGGCCTTTTGGGGATTAGGAATTTGAAGATTGTTGAGGATTCAGGGATTGGGAAGAATAGGCCTCAGATACTCATACGACGAAACACAACGCAAGTGTAAATGATTATATTAAGTATATATGTATGATTATATTTCAACTAAATATCGCGGGTAACTCACGTGAACATACTGTGAAAAGGTCTTAGCGATTTTTAGTTGAGTATATTTTATCAAATTTAATAACAGCGACTGTCTCGTTGGCCGAGTGGTCGCAAGTGCGACTGCCGGGCAAGGGGTCTCGGGTTCGATTCCCGGGTCGGGCAAATTATATTTTATAAATTCTTAGTAGTAGCACGGAGTTTGGAACTGTGCCCGGTATATGGCAATAGACTCACCCCATATTACACGGGACTCATAACATAAATAGTGAAAAGTGGATGTTACATTGTACAGTGGCATAATGTAGGGACACCTCTGCCTATGTGATGTTGTGTTAAATAAAATAACAATAAATGTAACCTTCTGATTATCCTTATGCACCTTACTGTCACAATGGTGAATCCCAAACTATAATTGAAGGATTATGTAGTACGATAAACCAAATATCTAATTTCTCAGAAA